GTGTCCCTGCCGCGTGGTCTGCCAAGGGTGGCCGGACCCTGCCCATGGGGCTGCTTGGCCCTGGCTTGCAGCCCCCTCCCCTACCCCGGGGAATGCCGGCAGCGAGGGGGTACCCCATAGAAGTGTGGAGGCAAACGTGGGTGGTCTCTCCTTCCAGTGGGGAATTCCCTGCTCCTGCACGACCCGGGGCTTCCCCAGGGATGCAGCCTCTCCTGTCAGGCGCAGCATCTCCCCTGGCAGTAGGGCAAAGAGGAACCGGCCTTGTTTTACTGCTGAAAATGGGGCCTGGGGTCCCATAAAGGGACATTTTGGGGGGACTGGCCTCTGAGCTTCTTGGCAAACCTGTGTCCCCCCTGCAACTGGCGAGCAGGCAGCCCCAGCCCTGCTTCATCACTGCAATGCTTTAGGGCCAGGTCTTGCCCTCCCGCCTGCGGAGGGATGCTGTCCGTGCCCCACATTGCAAGTGACACCCCAAAGCTGGGCTCTTCGGCGAGTGGGGTTTCTTTCTGGCGTGGCTCCATCCCTCGGTCCTGCCTGTCTCCATCAAGGAGCCTGCTTAGAGCCTGGCCTTTGGTTTGGAGCTGATCCCTACCAGAGATAAAAGTCACCCAGGGGTCCCCGCACAGCGGTGAGGAGGTGGCGGGAGGCTCAGCAAATGCCTGCCATGTTCTGCAGAGTGGGAGCCGCTGCCTGCTCCTCCCGCCATGGCCGGGGCTGGCCCGGGGGGCTGCCCTGTGGTGGGGGGGCCGGTCCCTCTGCTCAGGGGGGGTCATGAGCACAGCAGGTCGGCGGAGGGGAGTGGAAATTCCCTCTCGGCTCTGCCTCCGTCGTGCTCTCACTTCTGTTCTGACTACTCAAGGGGCCAGCATCAGACCTGGCTGGAAATAAAACTTCTCCTTGGGCTGGGGGACTCGGAGCTGCCTGGCCATCCCATGGCTGCGGTGGCCACGGTTCTAAGGGCCAGCGAGCTCTGACGGCCGCACCTCTGGTGTCCTTCGGTGCCGGCAGGCTGCATGCCAGCCCTGCTGCGGCAGGGCCGAAAAGGGAAGGATGTGGGGGAGAGAAGAGGAAATCGGCGTGGGCCGGCAGATCGCTGGCACGGGGACTGTGCCACGCAGGTGATCTTGGACCAGTGCCGGGCTCCTGCCTGGCTTTGGCTGCTTGTCTTTGCAGAGGGGAAAGGAGAAGTGTGGTGCGCAGCCGGCAACGGGGAACTGGAATTCCCCCGGCAGCTGCCAGAGCCCAGACCTCCCTCTGCAGCCACCAAACCCAGACCTTGGGCTCTGTGAAATGCATCCCAGGCTCTGTGAAATGCATCCCAGGCTCTTCGGACCTGCACCAGTTGGAGGCCTGGCTTTGCGCAGTGCCGGGTCGAAGCCCCGTGCATACCGTGAGGTCCAAGGGAGGACCCTGTGATGCTTAGTGGGGACAGGAGGGTCCATTCCCCATGGGGAACAGGGTAAAGGACTGCCCTGGGGAGCCACAGGCCATGTTCCTGCCTTGCCCTGCTGCTGAGCTTCCCCAGGGAGAGGGCAGGATGGAGGAGCTCCAAGCTGATGGGAAGGGAAGGGGGCTCGGGAGGGTGGAGAGATTATTCCTCCATGTAGCAGTGGAGGATCTCTGCTCCTGAGCATGGCACTCGGGACTCATTTTTCTTTTTTTTTTTTTCCCTCTCCTGTTCCCTTTATGCCCTCTGTAGGCTGGTTCACCTGGCCATTATCCACTGCGTCCCAGCTGTGGCACTCTGCTGCATCGCTCAGCTGCCCCGGGAGGTGCTGGAGATCCAAAATGATCTTTTCCAGGTATGTGGATGTGATAGGCAGAAGATGGGAGGAAGGCAGGTGCTACAGGCTGCTCCCTGGATAGTTGCCCAATCCATCTGCCCTTTTCCCAGGACCCCTCACCTGCTTCCTCCAGAGTGTGGTGAAGGTCCCATGTGAGCAGCCCCTTTTCAGGGGGGGGAAGAAGGGTGTGGGAGATACCCTGAGAGAGAAGTGTGACAGCTCCCCGCACCACAGGGTGAAGAGGTCCTTTACGAGGCCCCAGGACATCACAAACAGCCCTGGAGGGTGGAGCAGGCACAGCTTGAATGTGGCAGGGTAGATAACCTGGGAGAGTGAGATCTGCCTCCACGGGTGATCCCCAAGCTGTGGTGCGGGGTGGGGGGGAGGAAGCCATTTGCACCCCCTCCGGTGTCAGCCATGCTTAACCCTTGGACAGGGGTGGGCTCCTGCATGGCAGCTGGCCGGTGCCACCAGGCTGGCTATGGTAGGCTGGCGTGGCTCATCACACCTGGTGTCCTGTGGTGCATTCCCCTCCCTTTCTTAATTTCTGTCCCTATCTTCTCTGTAGACCCCGCTCCACCTCGCCGTGTACCTGGAGCAGCCCAGCGTGATCCAGGCACTGATCCACAAGGGAGTGAACCTGGAGCTGCAGGACCGCAATGGCAACACCCCGCTGCACCTAGCCTGCGAGCAGCAGCACCTGCGGTGTGCCCAGCAGCTGCTGCAGGGCACAGCCCCGCCGGAGGGCACAGCCCAGCCCCATGAGCACCACCAGGACCTGCAGCTCCAGAACTGGCAAGGTGAGACCTGGGGGAAGCCTGATGCGGAGCTGGTGGCCAGGTCAGGGCAGAGACTGTGAGTTGTGTGTGCAGGGATCCAGGAACGCAGCAAAGCGGGCAGGGGGCTGGGGTTGGCATGCCTCAGGATGGTCCGGGCTGACTGTGGCGCTCTCTTCTGCCTCCCCATCCCAGGCTTGGCCTGTCTGCACATCAGCACCTTGAAGGGGAACATCCCGATGATGTCTCTGCTGCTGGAGAGCGGCGCCAACATTGATGTTCAGGTAAGGCTGGGCATGGCGCGATGTTTGGGCAAGGGTGGGAGCGGTGCGTGGCTCCCTTGGGTGCTCCCTCTGGCCTGCTGTGGGGCTTGGAAGCACTGAGGGAGCAGAGAGAAACAGTCCTTGAGGGGCTGTTGGGTGCTGTGACAGCAGTCAGGGTGGGGACTGCCCACTCTGCACCCTCTCGAGGGGGTGCGGGTGGGTGCTGCAGGGCCCATCTGAGGGGACCCTGCACCCATGCCCTTGTGGTCTGCGGGTTGCAGGAGGGCACAAGCGGGAAGACCCCATTGCACCTGGCCGTGGAGTGCCACAACCGCAGGGCTGTCCAGTTCCTGCTGCGCAATGGGGCGTACGTGGATGCCCAGATGTACAACGGGTGCACCCCACTCCACCTGGCTGTGGGCCGCAAGGATGCTGCCATCGCTGCCATCCTCTCACACTCCGGGGCTGACACCCTACTGAGGAACATGGAGAACGAGACAGCCCAGGACCTGGCTGACGGCAACGATGACGTGAGTCTGCATGGGGGGAGGTCTGCGGCTCTGCAAGCGCGTTGAGGGGTGCAGGAGTGGGACGATTTGGGGGGGAGCTCCTAGGAGATTCTAGCCGTGCCCATCCTCCCCTATAGGGTGCAGGTGTTGGCTCTGGGGGTGCATGGGATGACTGCCTGTTGCCTTGAGCCCTAGGGAGAGCCCAGACAGGGTTTCTTGACACATCCCCGGGGAGGTGGAAGGCTGCAGGACTGGGGCGGGGGACAAGTCTGGGCCAGCTCAGTGGAGACACGACCCTAGATCCTTACATGTCCACACCCTTGGCCTTTACAGCTCCTCGCCTTGCTGCCCTTCGATGACCTGAAGATCTCAGGGAAGCCTGTTGTGTGCTCTGAATGAGCGGCTGGACTCCTTTGGCCCGTTGGGCTGCCTCCTCGCTCTGCACTGCTGCCCGCTGGGACCTTGCCTGCCTGCAGTTCAGTGGGAGCAGAGCCACTTTGGGACACTCATATTCCCCCCTCCGCTCCTCTTTGGAAAAGTTTTGTTGGCCTCAGGCTGCCTTCCCAGAGGGAAGAAGGTGGCACTATGAGCACTACACACGGGAGGCTTTTCTTTTAGTATTTGTGCCCAGCAGCAGGACTGAATTTCCCCTCCCTGCTATGGGTCTGACTTGTGGGGGTCTCCAGCTTACACAGAGAAGGAGCAGGAGAGGACTCCTTTTCACACTGTACGGTGGACAGAGCATCCTCTGGAACTCCCACATGCCATCAGAATAAGCGTGGGGTGAGGAGAGTTAACACTCACTCTAATAAACATTTGTTCTTGCTGCGGGCACCTGAGGTCTCATGTGATCTAACCCACCCTGCTCCCCGCAGCATCAGGAGCCTGGGCATTACCCCGGCTGCCGGGGCATGTGAGAGCTGCAGGGGCTTCCCCAGCCCGCCCGCTCCCTTGGGTCCTTTGCACAGCAGAAGGTGAGTGGGAGCGCAGGGGCTTCCCCACTTACAGAGCTTTTCCAGTGCTCAGGGCCGAGGCTGGGGGATCCCAGCCTGATGCTCCATTCCCGTGCTGTCCTGCCGAGCATCTGGCTTTGGGGCTGAAGAAAGACCGTAGGAGGTGCCAGACAACCAGGCTGTGGATCCCTGCTTCTGCTGTTGTGCCTGACATCCTGCTGCCTTACCATGCTGTGGTTTGCTCTTTTGCAAAGAAGATAGAAAGATCCTGTGCCATCTCCTGGCCTGGGAACGTGTCAAAAAACTTAGGGCATGGGTCGTCCCTGCGTTTTAGACTCCCTCAGGCTGAAAGCGGAGGAGACCGCAGGGTTATCTCCACATCCCTTCTGTTGTTCAGCTCGCCACCCTTCCCTGCTCCCTCTCCAAGCCAGAGGAGCACATGCGACACGAGGGAACCAGCAGCCAAAGGTGCTGTGGGAATGGAGATACGCAGGGTGCCTAACCCCACCTCAGCCAGGGAAATTCCCCACTTGCTGCCTGGGAGCAGCTGCTATTGTTTGGGGCAAATCCTGGATGGCGCAATCGCCGGAGATGCTCTGGAGGGAGCCATTGTCTTTCTCCTCCCTTCTTGGAAAGACAGGCAGCAAGGGAATGCTGCCAGGAAAACAGCATGGGC